GCAGCAGAATATGGAAGGGGAAATAGGTAGTATGAAACTTTGTTACAATATAAAACATCTCAAACAATTAACTCCAAAGTACCAAGACTCATGGTACTTTTTACATAGTAATGATAATGATAATGATGTACAAAATCTCAAGCACTAGTTTTAAAAGTCCTTAATTAAACTACAGAAAAGGGTGAGCATCTGAAGATGACTCAACAGTATCACTTCCACTTGTCCATGTACAATATGTATCAGTATTCCCAACAATCCCATCAGCCAAATTTTCAATACAACTTGGACTTCGAAATTTTGTATCAATAGTTGAATCACGTTTGGACAATTTAATGCTTTCCAACTCCAAAAGTATTTCCCTCATTGTTGGCCTCATTTTCCCCGTTGAGTTTAGGCACTGTCGTGCAAGTTTAGCAACAAAAATAACCTCGTTTTCATATCTTTCATCCACAAGTTGAGAATCAAGAATCGTTTGCAGAGAATTCTGATTCATGGATTTCAAAAACCTTTCTACCAAACTCATGCAAACGTGATCTTCTCCTGTTTGCATGGAAGATATTGGTGTGGAAGATATTGGTGTGGAAGATATTGGCTTTTGTCTTGTTATTAGCTCAACAAGAACAACTCCAAAGCCGTAAACATCACTTTTGTCTGTATAATGGCTTGTGTGGAAGTATTCTGGGTCCAAATAGCCAAATGTCCCTTTCACTGCTGTAGTTAAATGAGTTTTATCAACTTCAATGGTCTTTGAAGTTCCAAAATCCGCTACTTTGGCTATGTACTTTTCATCCAAAAGTACATTGCTGGATTTGACATCTCTATGCAGGATGGGAACTGAGATTTGCGAGTGCAGATATGCCAATGCACCTGCTATCTCCGAGGCTATTCTTAGTCTCAAGTTCCAAGTGAAGGGGAATTCATTATCATTCTGATTATGAATGAGACTGTAAAGGGTTCCATTGGGGATGAATTCATAAACCAGTAAAGGAACTTCTGTCTCCAAACAACAACCTAGGAGCTTTACCACATTCCTGTGATTGACTTGTGACAGAATGACCACCTCATTGACGAATTCTTCAAAGCGGCTGTCATCAACATTTTTAGCCTTTTTGATTGCTATAATCCTTCCATCAGTCAACATTCCTTTGTATACTGTGCCTTGACCACCGCGACCTAGTATTCGATCGTTGTTGAATCCGTCAGTAGCCTTGCTCAATTCCTTTGCAGTGAAAAGTTTTGTGTTTTCAATATCATCAGCGGGTAACTGCTGTTGTAACATTCTTTTGAAAAACTTCTCTTTGCGCCTATTGTTCCATCTCTTCTTCAGTGCATTGTATGATATTGAAATAATGATCATGAAAATTAACACGCCTGCTCCTATGGTAGCACCTGTGTAATTTCCAAATCAAATTATTGCAAGTAAATTTGGGAGTCTAGACTATCTTGAACTAGATTAGGGATACTATGAGATGCATTATGTTTGCCAAAAAAAGAGAGAGAGACCTGTACAACACGCTCACTGTAAAAGTTATGTTTCAATACCATTGAAACTTGAAATCAATAAAAAGTTGTAAATAAAAGGTGATGGATGGATTACCAATAATAATTGCTGCCCTCTTGCTTCTTCTGGCTCTGATTTGGGAAATGGCTTTGAAAAAGAAACAAGCAAGCACAAAAAATAAGTTTCAGATGAAGATCCAGAAGGACAATCTGCTATGATTAGAGAAAATGGTAGTTGAAACCAAAAGGTTAAATCATTAAGTTACAAAAAAAAAAAAATGCCCTATCCTCTGAAAATGTTACCTTCTTGGCATGCGCCATCTAAGTATGGGTTGATCTGATAAAACCAAGTATCACCTCCTAAGGTTCTGCATTCACACTGGTAACTGGAAATGTTCCTGGATTCTAATTGAAGGGAGCTATTTTTGGGACTGCAGCCTGAGATGGCATCAATATCTGAATAATTTTGGAGGGTCCAGGACCAGACAACAGGAAAGAATGGATCTTTTAAAGGGTTCAAGTAATCATCTAAGTTCCACTTTTGGTCTACAAACAAGGCATATGAACAGGTACGAGATGTTAAGTTCTGCGAGGCTGTTAAGTTCAAACTGTATTGGCTCAGGTAGTAAGGGAAACTTGCTTGACAACAATTGATGCCATAGCAACCGGGTGTCTTTCTGCTACTACACATTGAGGTGCAACCAGACAAAATCTCCGGACTGTCAAAACCCAAAGTGAGGAGAACATTACCACAGCCAACAAGCATCAGCTTGTCGTGTTCTGGAGAGTATAAGAAAGGGGTTCCATTAAGGACAGGATCGAGCGAAGGCAGATTGGCTTGCCCTTGATCCCAGCAAACTTCAGGTGTTGTAGTATTTATGGTTACAGTTTGGCCCCTCAGGGACACTTCCAGCACCTGCCTGAATTGTAAGGACCCTCGTTGCGGTCGAATGGTCAGATATGGCCTTGGACCATCCATGGAACTGTCAACTCCATCGGTACAATTGATGGTGTAAGCTTGATTGAGAGCACAACCAGGACCAATTCCAAAAGGGTAGGGAATTCTCACAGCCCCACAGGTATCACTGCATCCTGGCTTCGCCATTGGAAATCTTGTCGCCCCAGATGACAGAACAATGTGGCAAAGAAACAAAAACAACACAGAGATTAACCTCATATCACCCGTACCAAATTGTGCAGTCATAGGCTTATTTCTTAGTTGCAGAGAAAAAGTTTGAAATGTCAGGAATGTCTTGGAGTCTGCGGATTATATATATATATATATAGTCTGCATTAGATTCAAAAGTTGGTAAGATAAATTAATATCTAACCTTCACGCCAGTAATTTGAATTGATGAATCAGTCGTACAAGCTTATAGAATCAGTAAAAGAATCGGGGATGAGTTGAAGGTGTCACAATAAGATAAGATATTCTGGTTGGAAAAGAAAGCTACAAGAACCTCTTACGAGGTTCACTTGTCCAAATATCGTTCTTCGTTCGGGGAAATCGTATCATCATTCTCATTATGAACAAGTGTAGGGTGGATAGAATCTCTGTTTTAAAACTCGGATCGGACCGGCCGGTCGAACCGGGAACCGGCCAGATAACCGGTCCGAGTCATATTAAAAAACCGAAAATTTAAAATCCGGTCAAAAATCGGGTTTGATGGAAAAAAAATCGATTTTTCCGGTTCAACAGTAATTTTTTTTTAAAAAAATTCAAACTTTTTAATATTATGTTTTGACCCCCTAAATTGTTAAAACTTATTGATATACCTCAAATATTTGATACTTTATAAATATTGTCCTAAAATTTGATGTTATTTTTCAATTAAATTCATAATTTTAATTCTAAACTTGTTAATATTTATTAAATAATATAAATTGCTACTTGATTGTTCTAATTTCTTTGTATTTTCTTGTTAAATATATTTGAAACATCAAATATATATAAATATACCTTTATTAATATCAATATATTATTAGATATTATATATATAATATTTTAATTTTTAAATAATTTTTATTTATGACGTCATCCGGTTCGACCCCCTATCGACCCCCGGTCGAACCCATTGACCCCTGACCCCTGACCTCGGCCGAGTCACTATCCGGTCCGGTTCTGAAAACATAGTGATAGAATTGGGATTTATTCTTATAAGCAAAAAGTTAAAAAAAAAAAAAAACAACCTAGAAGTTTTATTTTTATCATAGGTAGTGGTTAATTTCTTGGGAAAGAATGACGATCTTTCTTCTTCTTCTTGATGAATTGGTCCAAGTGTCTTTCGTCAACTTTCATTGACCTTTTGGTTGCTATCAATGTGCCATAATCAATCAGCAACCCTTTAATAAGTATGTATCTTGACCACCTTCACCAACTACTATTACATTTTTATATATTGAATTCGTCAGTTGAGTTACGTGGCCTGGCCTTGCCCATTTTCTTAGCAGATATTTGACGGCCAGACAATTCTTGTGTTGTAAGAAAGGGAAAAAAGAAAAAAAAAAAAAAAAAAAAAAAAAAAAAAAACCTCTTTTTGACTGCTGCTTTGCACAAAGACAAAAATAACGGGCCCAATGGTGGTAGCACATGTGGAAGTCCAAAATTACTTCTTTTTTTGACCTTTGTGTAGCACTTTTGGAAAATGATATTGCTTGCACATGAAGAAAAGTTAGTAATTGACATGTCCAACAAGGTCTTTTTATTTTATACAAAAGAGTATAAAAATGAAAATATGCAATATTAGGTAAAAAAAAAAAATCAACAATATAACACCTTGAATCGAAATCTCCGAAATATCTTTCAAATTCAGTTGGATCGCTGCAATCCAATAATAGTCAATTTATACTTGTCTTCAACAATTTAATTTACTAAACAATTGTATCAAGTTCGGGAGAAAGTTTAGATTTGACCAAAAAAAAAAATGTTTGAGGAATTACAATTAAAAGTTCTCAAATCTAACAAGAAAATAACAAAAATAAGAATAAGAAGTACTCCCAAAAGGGAGTGTTAGGAGGAGAGAAAACTCTTATTAAGAGTAGAAGTATTACTGAAAGTTGCAAAAAGTATTACTATTGTTTTTTAAAAAGAAAAGTTGCAAAAAGTTGTCGTTAGGGATCAAGCTAATGGGATATTTAGGGGCTTTTGTCCTTTTTTTTTTTGGATGGTCAGGCTAGAAACTTTGACATGTCAACCAAGTATATAGACAAAGAAGGTTTTCTTCCACAAATTGGTTTATAAAGGGTTATTTACAAATTATCTGTATGCTTACAAGAATACACTTAAATTTGGTTAAATGCTAGTATTTTGATACAAAACAAATCTTTGACGAAGATCAGATTGATAAACAAATCGGGATAGAAACACACAACAAAATATATAGACGCTTTGGATGACAATATTGTGTTTGAAGCGTTTTTGTTTGTTAAAAAATTATTTGCTTGAATCATAAACACATTTTTATTTTTTCAATTATCTTTTTTATTTCACATACGTTACATCGTAAAAAGTTCTACGACAATTTTATTTCAGATCATATTTCAGATAATCACAAGTTAACATCGTTGGTGTCAATGTGTTAATTAAGAGAGGGAAATTGATACTACATTTTTATCTACTTGCATACTAACCAATGAAGAGTAGAGGTTTGTCACACCGTTACATGATTCAAACACAAATATATGAATGAGTGAATCAATAGATAGGTGGCAGCACAAAAATATGGGACATCTCAAGCACTAGTGCTGAAGAATCCTTCAATTAATTAGACTAGATTACTCAGAAAAGGGTAGGCATCTGAGGATGACTCAACAGGATCACTTCCACTTGTCCAGGTGTATGTATCAGGATCCCCAAGAATGCCAGCAGGCAGCTTTTCAATACTACTTGGACCTTGACAATCTGCATCAACAGTTGAATCCCCTTTGGACAATTTAGTGCTTTCCAACTCCGTGAGTATTTCCTTCATGGTTGGCCTTGTTTTCCCGGTTGAGTTTAGGCATCGTCGTGCAAGTTTAGCAACAAGAACAACCTCATTCTCATTTCTTTCATCTAAAATTTGAGGATCAAGAATCATTTGCAGAGAATTCTGGTTCATGGATTTTATGAATCTGTCCACCAAACTCACACCATCATGAGCTTCTGCTGTTTGTGCGGAGGATATTGGCTTTTGTCTTGTTAGTAGCTCGACGAGAACAACTCCAAAACTGTAAACATCACTTTTCTCCGTGTACTGACTCGTCTGAAAGTACTCTGGATCCAAATAGCCAAAAGTCCCCTTAACACCTGTAGTTAAGTGAGTTTTATCAACTTCAATAGACCTGGAAGTTCCAAAATCCGATACTTTGGCTATGTACTTTTCATCCAAAAGTACATTGCTGGATTTGACATCTCTATGCAAGATGGGAACTGAGATTTGTGAGTGCAGATACGCCAATGCCCCTGCTATCTCCGTGGCTATTCTTAGTCTCAAGTTCCAAGTGAAGGGGAATTCAACTTCATTCTGATTATGAATGAGGCTATGAAGGGTTCCATTGGGGATGAATTCGTAAACCAGTAGGGGAACTTCTGTTTGCAAACAACAGCCTAGGAGTTTTACTACATTCCTGTGATTGACTTGCGACAAAAGGACCAACTCATTCACGAATTCCTCAAAGCGCATGTCATTCACATTTTTCGCCCTTTTGATTGCCACTATCTTTCCATCATTTAACATCCCTTTATATACTGTACCTTGACCACCTTGACCAAGTATTCGATTTTCATTGAAATTGTCAGTGGCGTTGCTTAATTCCTTAGCAGTGTAAAGCTTTGCATTTTCAATATCCTCAGCAGGTAACTGCTGTTTTAACATTTTTCTGAAAAATTTCTCTTTGCGCTTATTTTCGTGTATCTTCTTCACTACTTTGTACAAACACAATGTAGTGATCAAAAGAATCAACATGCCAGCTCCCACGGTACTACCTGTGTAAATTCTCGATTAGTTAACACTAAATATCAGAGTCTGCTAGAATTCAAGCGCAGATGCACAACTATTGAAATATCAAGTACACAACAATTTAATGACAAACAAGCCACATGCATGAAAGATAGACGACACACAATATTTAACGTGGTTCGACTCTACCATTAAGCCTACGTCCATGGAAAAAAACCCGTTGTTTATTATGATAGGAAAACCTATACAAGAATACAACTTGAACCCAATGCCAACTCTTGCATACCGTCTCTTATCTCCCAAGAACCCTCGCCTCTTGCGTGCCCTTTTGTGTCTCTTGTGTAGCATGACAACCCATCTATTTATAGATAACATTATTTGGCCAAAACCCAAATAACAATAGGAAACTAATTCTAGTTCCTAGACTTGTACAGAATAGGAAATAACTTCTAATTCTACTAAAATCAATTAGAAAATTAGTTACTTCCACACAAAACAAGAAACCCGCTTAAAAGAAATTAAGCCAATTTCTTAACAGAGTCTATACACACATAACAGACACCTTATCATCATGTGCAACACCATCACTACAAAAGACACGATTAAACAGTAATTCAAAGGAGGACGATTTTCTGACTACTTTTCGAGTACTATGAATAGAAATTACAAAAGGGATGGATGGCTTACCAGTAATAATCGCGGTCCTGTTCCTCTTGCGCCTGATTTCGTCATTGGCTTTGACAAAGAAACAAAGATTCAGAAGACACAAGTTTTAGATAATATTCAAAAAAGGACAATCTTTTAGGGGGAGGAATAATAATAATAAATCCTTTCTCTTAAATACTCACCGTGTTTACAGGCGCCATCTAAGTACGGATTGATTTGATAAAACCAAGTATCATCTCCTAAGGCACTGCATTCACACTGATAAGTGGCAATACTGCTGGATTTTAACTGAAGGGAGCTATTTTGGGCACTGCAACCTGAGATGGTTTGAATTTGAGAATGATTCAGGGGCCAGGACCACACAACAGGAGCATTTATTAGACGTACTTTTGAAGTATAATTCTCCAACTCCCAGTTTTGGTCAACCAAGAAGGCATAAGCACAGGTACTAGATGTGAAGTTCTCCGAGGCTGTTAACTGCAAACTATATTGGCTGAGGTAGTATGGAATGCTTGCCTGACAACAATTGATGCCATAGCAACCGTTAATTGTCGAGGTGCTGTTACACATTGAGGTGCAACCAGACAAGATCTGCTGACTGCCATCTATCAAATGTAAGAGGGCATTACCGCATCCAAGAAACATAAGTTTATTGTGTTCTCTGGAAACAAAGAAAGGAGTTTGAGCAAGGGAACTCTCAAATACGGACGCATCAAGGGTTGTCCTGTTGACTGAGCAGATTGGAGAAAGTGGGTAATTGATGGTTATAGTTTGGTCTCTCAGGGAGACTTCCAGCACCTCCACGATTCTTTGGGCGCTTTGTCCAGGTTGAAGCCCCAGATATGGCCTTAAACCATTGATGGAATCACCAGAGCAACGTATGCTATATGCTTCATTGAGAGCACAATCTGGACCAATTCCAAATGGGTATGGAATCTTCACACTTCCACAGGTATCCTTGCATCCTGGCTTCGCTATTGGAAATGTTTCCGCCCCGGATGATGGAACAATGAGGTAAAGAAACAAGAACAGCGCATAGATTAACCTTATATCAGCCATACCAAATTGTGCAGTCGTAGGTTCATCTGTTAACTGCTAAATAGCTAGAATCTGAAATAAAGTTTGAAATGATTCAGAGGGTTGTAGGAATATTGCGGGTTTTGTGCATTATGTTGGCGCATTGAGATTTATATAAGTTGGCGATGAGGTGAAAGTGTCAATTACTCGTCTAAACTCATTCCTCGTTAGGAGACTGACCATCATTTTCATTATGACCCAGTCTAAACTATAAAAGTCTATTTGAACTGGGATTTATTCATAGATAAAAACCTTGAAATTTCATCACAGTGGTTGCCTTGGCAAGGCATGACGAATCTCATAGTCATTCTAGAGGCGTTCGCCAACCTTTATTGACTTTCGGCTGCTATGATTCTTCATCATCAATCGGCATCCCTTTCAGAAAATCAGTAAACTAATAATGGAGCACCAGCTTTGCGCATGAATATGATGCTTTGAAATTTCTTCTTTTATTTTTTCTCAAAATTTTTTTTTAAAAAAAATCATTGGTTTTGAAGGAATAAATGTAATTGAGATGAAAAGAATTTAATAGTTAATATTTAAAAGTTGATTTTTCTAACCAACACCAATGCACAAGCAACAAAGCATTCCACTTTCTATTGGATATGGGTGACATGCATGAGTGCCTTTTTTTTTTTTTTCTTCTATTGTCATTTGAGTTTATATTTTTAGCCTTTTGAATAATTTGTTGTTCTCCTTTATGTCATTTTTATGAACCTTTATTAATTTTAGCAACTTTCTTCTTTATTTTTTTCTATTAATCATGGATTGCAAAATGATTCATAGTGCTATTGCAATTGCAAAATTATATTGAAAATTCTTTCCTCAAATTTGAATAGCGTAACTTTAAAGAGAAATGATTTCATCATTTGGTGAAACTTGTTTATAGTTACCATTGATGACATGTTTTAGGATTATAGAGTTTATATAATCAGCAACTGTAAAACTCTGTTAGGATTATTTATTATACAATAGTCAAACTAATGAGGGGCTTAGATGTACTTTTGATTCACCAGCTTTTGAAGTGGGATATGGTATTAAATGCTTGACACCAATCATTCCAAATGGACAAAAACTTGGGTAGCTTCGATGTACGGACCCACCTATAGATCGAACGCACAATAATCTATCACATCATGGACATGAATTAAATATTCAAAACTCAATCGGGAGAAATCTTTGTGGGATCCCTCTGAAATCTAGTATTGATAGACATACTAGACGTGTTGTATTCATCATTGTTCAACGTGGGAGTGACACCTCAACAATCGATACTTGTAATGATTGGTGAAAGTAAGTGTTTTACCTTGGGTCATGACCGATTGTTGTAGATGCATTACCGACAACATGCGCATTAAAAAAAAGAGAGAAGTGGGGTCCGGTTCAAAGAATCAAAAGAGCATATTCTTGTATTTTTACTGTACACATCATGAAAATTTATGGCCTTTCCAACGAAATTGTATCAAACAAAATTCAATTTTTTTTTTTTGACAAAATTCAATCTAGCTGTACCATAATTCGATTGTCCGAGGATTGGTTTCAAATTTTGTTGTGCAAGTTGCATTCAATGCTTTCACCAATAGCAGCTATAGCGTTTGGAAATAAGTTATAAAAAATTCAACGAATTGAAAAGATTATTGGAAATAATGAATGGCATTACTTTAAATCTATAATACAAATTCTTCAAGAACGCCTGGAAAGGATCCACCACAATGCATATGGAAGAAAAGTAGCAGAAAATCAACAAAGAAAACCTCCCAAAGTTGAAAAGAAGGTAAGTAATATTTATTAAATTTTGATAAAGATCATGTTTATGTTTTTTAAATAATTAGATAAATCACTAATGTTAGAGGAAAATGTTGTCTCCAGGTCTTGCATTATATGGTGGCATATGCACCTCTTTGTTCGATTAATTTTTATGAACTACAAAAAAGCCACTTTTTATGCAACTAATTTTCTGTTTAATTATTTTCACTAAGTTTTGGGTCACTATTTGACTATTTGTTCAGTTAAGGATGTGGATTTGACATCATAATAATAATTTAAAAATACTAATATAAGAATGTGACGGACAATAAAAACTTTATAAGGACATAATTTTCATATATGTAAATTTGGAAGAAAGAATAGGAAGAAATTATAAGGGAGAAAGCATTGGAAGAAATTAACTAACCAAATTGTGTATGAGTTTGTGTCCAGAACTCCAGATGAAATAGTAAACTGTTTTGTCCACTTATCTCTTTTATTGCAAGCACGGTAGAGGGAGAAAATGATGGATAATTAACATAGAGGCCTTTTTTCAGACTTTTAAATCCTATTACTGATTCCGAAGCCGGGCTCAATTCAATGTTTTTTCCTGCTACTCCATTCTTTTTCTTTGATAGGACTAAGTGTAAAGATTTAATTTAATTGTATTATTTTTTAAAGGGAAAAAAAAGGAATGACATGTATTACATTTTTGAATAATTAATTTAATTATGAATTTTGTGGAAGAAGCGAAGTTTAAAAGTGGCGTGTTTATATTATTGAATTCGTTTATCAAGTGAAGTCGAAGTACTAGTCTTACTACACGGAAATGAAATATAATAAAAGGGATGTGAATATTGAATACAAATTCTGGCAGGACATGAATGGTATGTAATAATGTGAATCTTTTGTTTTGTAGAACAAAAATGGAAGATAGTGGAGGCATGTATGGAAGACTACCAATGTTGAATTTAAATGAATATCCAAAAGATCCATATGTATATGTGGAAGAAAATGGCAATAGAAAGGTTGTGGGTGGAGAAAATGAGCCACCACCAAATTACGGCTTTATTTGATGGAGTATTATTTTAAATAATTATTATAGTACTTTTTGTGATGTAATATATGTAAAATAAAAAAATAATAAAAAATATGAAAACATGAATTAAAAAAATGTTTATGTTATAAGCGAATTTTTTTTTTAAATGTACTATTCAAACATAGCCATGATTTTGCAACTGGCAACATAAATAACTCAGGCCAAAAGTTCTTTGGTTTCCGTTTTGACCCTCAAGATCAGCAAGCGAAAGTAGGCAGGCGAACAAATGATGGCAACAGTCTAACGCAGGGACTTTGACCATAGGAATGGTGGCACTACCATTGGAAAGGAATAAATGCCGAGCACAAGCCTACAGGAGATTAATTGATGTTTCAAAATTTGGGATCCCACCGCACATTGGCATCTGGCGGGAAGTGAAAGTGCGTCAACTGTGAATTTATTCCTAATTTGAATTTTGAAGTAGAGAACAAGCCCATGCATTTGCAAAAAAATTTTCCCCTAGTAAATTGTACACGTTTCGATTCCGTCCATTTCATCAATTTGTATCCTTTATATTACTTTTATTACAATCTACAAACTTTAATGCAATATTTTCTATATAATAATTTATTCAAACAACTATATAAACTATGTTAACTACATATTAATAAAATAATAGAATTTTGGCTTTATTTGCTATAACTAATAAAAAAATAAGTTTTGGACTAATCCAAGTTAGTCATATACCATGATTTTGGACTGATATCGTGATACAATTAACATTTTACCAGTGACTATAAATGACTACTCATTTATATTGTAAATGACTATTTTATTCTTATTTTAACAAATAAAATAATAACCATTTATTATTTTTCTCGAGCTCAACTGGGCTTGAATTCGAGATCGATGTTGAACTCAAATTTTAAAATGAAAGCTCGTGGAGTTCGGGATCATGCTGGAAGTCAAGAAAATTGAGTCAATTCAACTCGTTTTGCAATCCTATAAATGATAACCTTTTCATTAAATCTATATGTTTATTGTAAATTTAATATTAATATATGTAATCGAAAAGTGATTGGAAAAAAAAAATTAAGTTTTGGACTAATCTAAGTTAATCATATACCTTGATTTTGGACCGATATAGTCATACAATTAGCAAAGTTAAATTTTTTATCTATTTACCCATGTTAAAGAAATAAATAACATTTTCTCTAAAACCAACTCCTACGAATACAAAATTTATGTGTTGGTATACTTTGGCCGTGACAATTAAAATTTACTTTTTTGGACTAATTTATCCCTATTATTGATAGAATAAAAAGTAGATCTGCACAAAACCAATTTTGGTCTATAAGTAAGTAAGTTCATCTCATCCTATTAGTAACAAAACACAAGGAACCTAGTTTTTTTTGTTAAACTAAACATCTAACATAAAATCGAACCAAACGTTTGACAACAGGATTACTCATCCAACGATAAGTAACCACCTCTCATTTCATGAAGAGTTTGTTTGGTCCATCGGATCATATGATAATTTGGAGTTGTTTACTTCTATTACTATAATGACATTTTATTCTAACAAATGCATCAAGTCTACTATTTCCCTATCATAATCTAATTTCTGAACTAATTTCGCCATAACTATAAATGACTATCAAGGTAAAGTTGATGTTATTTTTTAAAACTTCCTAGATAACATAAAACATTCAATACTTGAAGTTATAAACGAATATATTTTAACAAATTGATGTTATAAATGACGATTTTATTCTTATTTTATAAATGACTATTCATTTATGTCGTAAATGACTATTTTATTCTGATTTTAACAAATAAAATAATAACTAATTGTTATTATTTCTCCCAAGCTCAACTAGGCTCGAACTCGAGATCGATGTTGAACTCTAGTTTTACAATGAAAACTCATAGAGCTCGGGATCATGCTGGAAGTCGAGAAAATTGAGGCGATTCAACTCGTTTTGCAACCCTATAAATGATAACCTTTTCATTAAATCAATATGTTTTTTGTAAATTTAATATTAATATATGTAATCAAAAAATGAATGAAAAAAAAATAAATTTTGGACTAATCTATGTTAATCATATACCATGGTTTTGGACCGATGTGGTCATACAACTAATAAAACTAAACTTTTTATGCGTTTACCCATATTAAAGAAATAAATAATGTTTTCTCTGAAACCCACTCCTACAAATACAAAAATTTATGTGTTGGAATACTTTGGCCATGACAATTAAACTTTAATTTTTTGGACAAATTTACCCCTATTATTGATAGAATTAATAGTAGATCTGCCAAAAAGCAATTTTGGTCTATAAGTAAGTAAATGCATCTCATCCTACTATTGACAAAACATAAGGAACTTGGCTTTTTTGTTAAACTAAACATCTAATGTAAAACTAACCAAACGCTTGACAACAAGATTACTCATCCGAAAATAAATAACCACCACTAATTTTTGAAGAGTTCGTTTGGTCCATTAGATCATATGATAATTTGGGGTTCTTTACTTCTATTACTATAATGGCATTTATTCTAACAACTACATCAATTCTCTATTATTTTCCTATAATATAATCTAATTTGCGAACTAATTTGACCATGACCATAAATGACTATCAAGTTAAAGTTGATGTTATTTTCTAAAACTTCCTAGGTAACATAAAACATTCGAAACTCGAAGTTATAAATGAATATATTTTAAAAATTGATGTTATAAATGATTATTTTATTCTTATTTTGCAACTGACTATAACTGACTATTTTACCAATGACTTGTTATAAATGACTATTCATTTATGTTATAAATGACTATTTTATTATTATTTTAATAAATAAAATAATAACCATTTTTTTTTCTCGAGCTCAATTAAGCTCGAGCTTGAAATTGATATTAAATTGGAGTTTTACAATAAAAAATCGTGAAGCATAGGATCATGCTGGAAGTCACAGAAAATTGAATCAATTCATCTCGTTGTTCATTCTTGATAAGCCCACACGGAATTTACTCAGGTGAAGTCTCGGAATGTGTTAAGAAGAATCCCTCAATTGCATCTCAGGTGCTTTTGTTGTCCCGAGGTACATCATATTATATTCAACAACTAGTACTCTTCTTTACTGACCAGCCGGTGGCCTATTACTGAGTTTTGGCTGTATTAGTTGACAAGTTTTGCTCTGACTTTGTCTTCTATATTTTATGAATTTCCACACGACTTGTACAATTTTGATACTAGACTGTAGAGGCGTCCATCTTTGTGAGAAGAAGAGAGGAAGAAAACCCATCACTCCTACCTCTCCTCTGATTTCTGGATCTACTAGAAAGACATCATGGGAGAGGAGGATGTTTTGATTGGCAGGAGTTGATGTGTTTACAGATAGGGGGAAGACTGGAAGTTTCATGAGTCTACAAATGAGGGGTGGCGGAGATGGGTGTGGTGGTGTTGGTAATGGGGGCGGAGGAATTCGGGAGAGGAGGCGGAGATGAGACCCAGTTGGCTGTTAGATTTGGAGCTTATTAAGGAGAGGACGTGGCAAACTGTAAGCCTCTCGATCTACGTGTAAGATTATAGACCGGGTCTACTCAAATTTTTGCTATGGAAAAATGTGGCCATATGAGGGTAAGAGGCTTTTTGCATTACAGTTTTTAAAGAATTTTTGGACAAAAAATATTAGTGTAGCACTTTTTAGAATGTAATGTAATATGAGCTAAAAAAAATAGAAAATATTTTAGAAAAATATTCATGAAAAGCCAGAAAATTTTCTTTAAAAGTACAATCCGAACTTTCTGAGTTGAGTGGCTTACAAAAGAAGCTTAAGTGCTAAAATTAGTAATATTATTTTTTTATCTCACACACATCACATCATAAAAAATGTTACAGTAATTATCTCAAATAAATCATCTAAACAAATCATACGATTCAGTAGTCAGGCAGTCAATTCAAATGAATAATTTGTACAAGTATTGGTATACAAGTTGAATTAGTGTGGCCATTTTTGGGTCATCTCAAAATTTTATTTTTTTTTTCATTCCCACCTCTCCTCACGCCCTTTCTATACCCAACTACGACTCGAACTTGGTGTCGAACTTGGTATCTTTAAAATGCTGTATCCCAAAATAAAAATTCTGAAGCATTTTAAAGAGGTCAGTTAAAGGGATCTCTTTAAAAAAGAGTTCATTATCTTACCACTATTATGAATAACTGGGCAGATTAGCAGAAATGCATGCCATGAAGCAGATTGAAAGAATAGTTTTGAACTGAAGAAATTGAGATTTGGCGGCTTAAATATGAGGTAAGTCATTCATTAGAAGTTGGGGAGTTTAATTCTTGAAGAAACATGACAGAATGCATGGACGGATATCTTCAAGACAAAACCACGTTTTCTTATTCCAGCAGGCTAATGTTCTGGTCTGGCTATCACGCCTTCTGTAATTTAGTTCCAAGAAGTGTCAGATGGCAGTCACTCATTATCTCACTTCTTAGCAGTTAATTTTCTTCTGCAAGCTGAAGTTAGTTAGGATAGCCACCACTTAAACGTTAGGATCATTTTCTGCATTGTCAGAATTATAATCATGTTTGCACTTTGCTTGAAAAATGGAATCACCCTCCTCAAGTTTCCCTCTCTCTTCCTCTCTCTTGTAACTCCCTCTACAACATTTTCTTTCTCTGTTTTCCATCAATTCTGTCCTCTGAATTTGGTGGGAATAACATTATTATCCTCAATGATATTCGCATTATCTGAGCCGAGGCAAATTGCTGTTTCAATACTTAAGTTTCAGCAGCAATATTTATGTACTCTGATTGTTCAGCTTAATCGGATTAGCACAGAAATATAAGAGGTGTTCGCATTGGTATGAATAAAGGGACAGATAACAGAAATATAGCAGACATAATACAGTTACATACTTTCCCTTTCGAGATTAATTTGGTCTAATTTCTTCATTCTTGTCTGAAGGCTTGCAAGATACTGCAGTATAAAGCAGGATGAAAAGGAGAAGGGTTTATGAAGACGTATTATGGAAGTCGATGTGTAATTTCGTGCCAATATTTATGATGGAATGCTAATTGAGAATGGGTCCCATCTTTGTGCAAATATTGCTGTTTTAAATTCATTTTAGGCCTTTCAACTATAGTAAACATGAAGATACTGAATTATGACATTATTAATGAAACTAGCAACCGTGAACTAAATGAAGTTCAAAGAATATAGCTCAACTTAAAAGTTAAAGTAAGCAAAAGTTTCATAAGTGATCTTCCCAGTGATGGGCATGATGGCCAGTTCGAAATTCACACGGCACTAAAAGAAGCATTGAAGAACTAGGTTAGTATGAAAAAATTTTTGATAATCAAAGTTATTTTGGAAAAAATAAACTCCTTTTTGTTACTATAACAAATTTCAGGATGCCCAGGCCATGACATGACCAGTTTGAGCATATCTGGGAACTTAATGTACAACTCTAACCACTAAACAGAATAATGAACTAGTGCTTATTCATAAGTGGATGGACATCTGAAACAGATCTAAAGCTATCAACTTCAGTTGTCCATGTATAATTGTTATCAGAAAACACGACAGATTCTCCTTCAATGTGGCTTGGACTTTGAAAATTTTCTGTAGTTGACTGCACTGATGATAGTTTAATGCTTTCCAATCCAATGGCAACTTCCTTCATAGTTGGCCTTTTCTTCCCATTTAAGTTTAAACATCGTTGTGCAAGTTTAGCAGCTGCTGTAACCTCCTGTTCAATCCCTTGATTTATGAGTTCAGGATCAAGAATATTTTTGAGAGAATCCTGTTCCATGGACATCAGGAACCTTGTTGCCAAACTCAAGTTATAATCTTCATCTGTTGTTGCTGAGGATATTGGCTTTTGTCTTGTCAAAAGCTCAGCAAGGACCACCCCAAAGCTGTAAACATCACTTTTCTCTGTAAACTGGCTTGACTGGAAATATTCTGGATCCAAATAGCCGAAAGTCCCTTTAACTACAGTAGTTAAGTGAGTTTTGTCAATTGTCACGGACCTTGAAGTTCCAAAGTCTGATACTTTTGCTACGTATTTTTCATCCAAAAGTATATTGCTGGATTTGATATCTCTGTGGAAGATTGGAATTGAAACTGCTGAGTGCAGATATGCCAATGCTCCAGCTACCTCGATGGCTATTCTTAGTCTCAAATTCCAAGTCAAGGGAAGCTCCTCATTATTCCCATTATGTATGAGGGTAAAGAGGGTTCCATTGGGAATAAATTCATAAACTAGTAGTGGGACTTCTGTCTCCAGACAACAACCTAGAAGCTTTACCACATTCCTATGATTGATTTGTGAAAGAATGACAACCTCGTTGATGAATTGTTCCAATTGGCTTTCATCAACCTTTTTTGACTTCTTGATTGCTACAATTCTACCATCTGTTAGCATCCCTTTGTAAACTGTACCTTGACCTCCTTGACCTAGTATGCGATTTGTGTTGAATCCATCACTGGCCTTGTTCAATTCTTTAGCAGAGAATAGCATTGTTTTCTCAACCCCTCCTTCATCAGCAGAACACTGTTGTTGCAACAAAAGACCTCCATTTCGCTTAAAAAATTTCTCTTGGCGCTTTTTGGTGCGCCTCTTTTTCACTACTTTGTACAAGGTATAAGTAGCTATTATGAGAAATACTACTCCAACACCTGCAGAAGCACCTGTACAAATCCATATTGCAATGATTGCAAACATTTAGAGCCGAGCCTGTTGTTGGACAAGCATGGTGCATATTACAATTAACATACACTCAAAGATTGATTTTCAAATGAGTTGCCAGTTGAAGTTTTAGTGGGTGGTGGCTTTCGCCGGGAGATAAAGTAAATAACCCATTGTGCATTTTTGGGCTGAGGAAGCGGAAAAAGGTTTACATGTCTAAGTTTTCTACGTATTAATGTGCCTTTCCTATGTGTAGCTGTGGTTCTTTATGTCAGTAAAATTCTTTGCAAGTTTCTGGTTGGATGTTTGTGGAATTGGAAGGCTATTTGGAGGCTGGTTTGCATTACATTGAAGTGGTAGTTTTTTGAAGAATTGTATTACAGGAAGGGGAGTTTCTGATTTTTAGCATCCTAATCACAGGGTCAGAGCTTTTGGTGAAACAATTGAGACTAAAACAAGAAGCAATGGGAACCTCCAGCAGCAAATATTATTAAATTTAAATGATAGCTGATCAGCTATTTCCTAGACGGATGATAAGAACATGGAAAGGAATAGTTGCCAGGAACTAGACAGGAAGAATCACCAAAGCTTGGACATTACAGGAACACAGAAAGGATGAAGCTCAGATGGAGGAATCAGAGGCAATACACCAAGCCTCATTGGTGGCTAAGGAAGCTGAGTGAAAGGCAATTGTGGTTCATTCTGACTGTAAAACTGTAACAGACAAGATTTAAATTTGTTGCATTTCGAATTCTGATTTTGCATAAAGGAACTTGAACTCACCCCAGAATAACTTGTCCTGTAGAGATATTCTATTACCCTACGTTTCAACTTAGTCATAGACATATGTGCTTGAAGCAAAAATGAAATTTTCGCTACCAAACATCAGAAATCTTGTGTTGTTTTTACATCAGAAATCTTCTGTGTCGGGTTCAAGCAATTAGTATTTTACAGGAGGAACTGCCATATGTGCTTGAATTTTTCTGTTAATATTGCATTTGATCGCTGGAGTCCAAGGGGAAAAAGATATGGAAGAGTAACTTACCAACAATAGCAGCTATATTGTTCTTCTTTCCTCTTCCCAAGATCACAGACATGGCTTCAAGAAAAAACAATTGTAATCACAAAAGGAAAGTCAGAACAATCTGTTAGATCGGAATCATTCTAGTGCTAGTCAAAAAATTCTTTTATCTAACTCACCATAATTACATGCACCATCCAAATACGGGTTGATTTTGTAGACAAAAGTTCCTGTTCCGAATAATTGACACTCACACTGGTAACGCAGAATGTGGCCGGATTCTAGTTTCCAACACCCTAAACCATTCTGAATTTGAATTTGTGTAGAGTTAGATATGGTTTAATTTCAAAACTATGACAAAGCTGAAAATTGGAAAAATTTCTTTTCCCTGCTGACCGAATGGTCAATTCTGTTTTGGGCATTTATTTCAAAAATTTAAGTGTCATTTACCCATCAATTGCTCATTAAATGTTCTAGAACCTTGGTTTAAAAAATGGAGCAAATTGGGGCTGATTTCGTTGGACAAAACTTTTGAAAAAGAAAGAATGATAGGGTTGGCAGATTAGCTTTGAAGAATTTCATAAATTTTGGTCATTTCGTTAACTACCTTCTTGTGCGAATTTTTGCTTAAATTTTGATAAAGAGGTAGTCTATATATATAAGTTTAAATGTACCAAATTTGGTATAATTTCAATACCATTTCGATGTCCAAATAATGTTCCAAAGATTGCCTTTCAAAACTGAAAATTCATTGATCAGGTCGTAAAAATCAACCGACTTCAAACTATTATATCTTGTTGCTCAAAACTCCGAATTTAGTTATGTTTATAGCGTTTGAAAATTGGTTTGGGAGTCTTATTGTGTTACAAATTTTAAAGGCTGATTCACTTCCTATGAATTTTTCCGAATTTCCAAACATTGCTGAAAATCAAGACTGGTTCTGTCCTGTCTTCATGAATCAGCAACTTTGAACTGAAATATGAATGCTTTATGTTTGGAATCTTGGAAAAGTACTCAGGGAAGTTTTAGTACTTTTAATCTAGTTTCCAACGGTATAAAGTTTTCCATTTTTGGACATATCAAACTCAAGATCCAATTTTTCAAGTTTTGTTGCATAAAACTGAAAATTTCTAGTTTCATAAGAAATGAACTTTTAAGAACTTTCCATCCTCTTTTACAATTGTTAGACTGTTTTAGGTGTAATTTCATGGTGGGATACATGGTTCCGTTAGAACTTTAAACCTTCATTTCAAATCTTGGTTTTCGAAAGTTAAACTTCTCTTAATGTATTTTCTTGGTTGTACCATTTTCTTGGTTAATGATACTTTATTTTATACTTGAGAAATAAACTTCAAACCCTAATTTTTGCCTCGATTTCCATGAGTTTAAACTCCAAAAAAGAAATGTTTTGGCTAGGTAGTTCTTGGAGAATTGCACTAGCTTTATACTTAAATCTTGGAACTTTAACTTGATGTTTTTCTATGAAATGAATGGAGTTTTGGGTATGTTTGACTCCATTAATTTGAAAAAATGTGAATACTCTTTACTTTCTAAAGTTTGGATGTGAGATTTAAAATTTTGGGAAATGAAAATCATTTACTCTTTTCTCGATTTTCGTGTTAAAAATGAAAATGGTACTTTCTCTTGGATTGAGATTTATTTACCGTGACATGAATAAAAAAAACGACTTTTGAGTTCTCTTTGAGCAGTATTTCAATGATTTAGAGAGAAAAGCGCCTTTAACTTGATTCGAACTTGTGATCTTAAACATTCATTTGTGAATCTCGATTTTCAATGAAATAAACCTTTTTGATGCATTGTTCTAGTTCTGGATAAACGAACTTTCTTCTTTGAATGCTAAGTGGTCTAGAGTATATGTGAGTAATGGATGGTCACTATTTCTTCAGGTGCTCAAGAGGGATTTGAGGAATTCCAGCGAATAACACTAAAAGACTTATTTGCTTACTTACTTTTGACTTGGTGAGTGTCAAGTGCATGACTTGTTGCATAATACTTGAATTACTTCTAGCCAAATATATGAATTGGATTTGTTGAGTCGAGTGTGTACTTTATCGTACTCGTTCTCTTTTGCTTGATTATATAATTGACTTGCTCATACTTGAAATTTTACTTGTGTTTGACTTTTTGTCAATTGGAGTGAATTTCATTAACTTATATTTGTAATTGTCGATTGAAACATTGTCTCATCGACCATTCTTACTTGTGGGGGACGCCCAATCTCATTGGCTAACTTTACGAATCGAGCCAGTATGGGCTTGGTCGAGGAGTATAGTGAACCGTGAGAAATCATAAAACTTGATCTATTGGAGAGATCTTACTTGGCATACTCGCATAGTATTGCCACGATATACTCAAGTAATATCAAAATTTTTGACGAGCGGACCCGGTATAGGGTGGGTAACGGTGAACGGGAATTTGGGGAAAGTGGAGTTCCTATGGATTGATACTTACTTGGTTGACGGAGTGTCAACATGAAATTGGATCAAAATCTTGACCCAGCTATATAGAATTTAGCTTCTGAAAGTTACAGTATTCTTGAATTGTTTTTTTTTTACTTTCCTTACTCGAAATGTCAATTACTTGAAATTTCTAGTTATTATTATCTCGATTTTCTCCCATGCTCTTCTACTTGCTCTATTACATGCTTGCATGTTTTCTTGGCCTCTCTGAACGTTAACTTACCCCATTAGTTTGTTTTCCTTAACAGGAGTTCGGAATGGAAATATTTTTGGAGAAGCCGACTTGATTACCTTTTGAATAGAATTTTAATATAATTGATTAGTTGACTTATGGTGGTTGTAATTATTGGGAGATTTGATGTACACTTTTGGAAACTTGAGATGTAAGATTTGAATGTTTAACTACGGAAGCGACTTCTTTTTAATTCAACTTTTATTATTAGTTGTTTATCCTTAAATTTGAATTGGATTCATATTGAGTCCTGACAAGAATTGGGTAGGCGTTTAAGATGCTAGGGAGAAGTGGGAGCGTCACAGATGCAGCCGGCCTACAAACATGCACAGGTACATGCAAGTCCACAAGCAAGAGTCAAGTATTTCAAGTTCACAGAGGTCGAGTCCAAGTAATCACACACTCGTCTAGACAAGATTAAGTCACAAGTCACATGTATATCAAGTTACTTGTTCATGCATAAACAAGATGTCAAGTGTTTAGTTAAATTAGGTCGAGTGTGATAAAGTACACACTCATCTATGGAGTAACAATTCAAGTGCCGAACAATTTCTAGCAACAAGTCATATTTAGTCAAGTAACATGGAACATGCAATTAGAACACTCACCATGACAACAAGTTTAAGTGTTTGCCTTATGAGCACTTCCGGCCTCCTTTTCAAATCACAAAATCAAGTATGTGAAGTGTCATGAGATCCACCACTCCAAGTTATAATATTCAAAGGCAAACACTTCCAAATCAACCAAGTTATCTCAACTCCAATCATAAAACTAAGTTCAAAATGATTCTACAACTCCAACTTGAAGTTGGAAATGAAAGCAAGAACAGAATTTTCTTCAGTTTTGCGCGATGTTATTTGAAAAATCATATCTCAAGTTTCTTTAGTCCAAAATTTATAAACTTTATACGATTGAAAAATAGACTCAAAGGATTATAATTTTCTAGGAGACACATTTGTAAGATTCTATCCAAAAATCAGTCAAATTCCAGTCTCAAGTTGCTAATTCGTCCGGTAGAAAAATAGAACAGGTGTGAAAATTCAGTCAAATTTGAAATATCATAGATAGTCATAGGAATTGAGAACAATTCTGATATTTTTTTCGTAGAAAGTACTCTGAATCTAGTTTCAAACGCAATAAGAAGAATTCAATTTGAATTTTTATATACAAAGTTATAGCAATTTTCCCAAAACTGCGTAGAGCTCTCTGCGGAAATTTCCAGCAAGCCAAAAAATGTTTTTTTTTTCCAAACTCTCCTCTAGCCAAACTCCCCAACTTTCTTTCATGTTTATATAACAAATCCACAAATTAAACTAACCAACATGTTATAAGGCATATAGTGTCAATTTCTAACAAAGAAATCGCTTACAAAACTAACTATGTGAAGGCTGGAAATTTTTGCCCTAAGCTAGAATTACAACCAAAGTTGGAAAATTCTATAGCAAGGCTAAAAATTCATACTAAAACTGGAAATTCCCATATCATGGCCTAAAAGGCATACAAAGTTGAAAATCACATTCCAAGGCTGAAAATTGACTACCAGAGTTCGAAATTCGTATAACAAAGCTAAAAATGCATCTCCAACAAGATATCCAAGCCCACAAGTCATATCAAAGCTAGAAGTTTTCATCTCAAGGCTGGAAAAATTATAACTCAAAGCTGGAAAATTCAATCAATCTCACAAAACCATGAAATCTTTCTCACCTTCCATAATCAAGTCATATATCCATCAAAAAGGAAGGATAAGAAAGAAAAGAAGGTTTCTTAACTTGATGCCTTCAAACCCTAGGAAGAAATGCAACCAAGAGCTTCCTTTTTCCCCAAATCTCTCAACAAGAGCCTTTCTTTCTTCCTTGTTATTTCTTTCTTCCTTGTTACAACTTTCTATGGATTGAAATAAGATTCTAGGATAAATTTTTCAAGGATTCAAGCAAAGGATCAAGTTGAAATTTTGGAGTTTTTCCTTCTCTTTTCTTGCTAGGAAGTTCTGCCAAGAAGTAGAAAGGAAGGAAGGGAATTTTGACCAAACTTCTAAGAGAAAGTTCAAGAGAAGTCTTGGTCAAAGTTCCATAGATGAGTGACCCTTGGCAAGGCAAGAAAGTGATACTTAGCAAGGCAATTATTAGTGTCTAATTAATGACCTAATTATCTTGGTTGGATAACAAGAAAACTTGGTCTTAGTCAAAGTTAAGATTCTATGGTTTTATGACAAATGGTAAACCAAGAGCTAATCCTTATCTAATTATTTTTCAAGCACTAAAATATCTAGCCAACTTCTAATTATCTCTTGACTCCATATAAATAATATGGTAAATTACATTTTACCCCCCTGTGGTTTACCCTTTTTTTACATAACCTCTCTATGGTTTCAAAAGCTATACATAACTCCCTCATGGTTTGGATTAAAGTGTCAAAGTAACGGAAATAGTTACTCGTAACGGAACTTCTAAAAATGTCGAAATTACCCTTATAAATACATGGTACATTAACCCCCTATGATTTTTATATTTTACTATATAACCCCCTTATGGTTTAATACTTTACCATATAACTCCCTTATAATTTTTAAAATATACACATAACCCCCTTTGGTTAATACATAAATTTCAACTTTACATAAGGGTATTTTTGAAATTTTAGGTGACGCCATTATGAATGATCATTTTCGTCACTTTGACACTTTAATCCAAACCATAAGGGGGGTTTTTTTTTTTGGGACGTTTTGGACGATTTTCCCTTTTTTAAAACACATACATATGTTTATTTTTTTTTAAATAGGGGTGGGAGTGCCAGCCCCTAATTTATTTGAATAAAAGAGGGTGGGTAACAGAAAGAGGAAGAGTGTAGGTGAGCCGACACTAGCCCCCTACACTTCGGCATCGTGGAAAGGGAAACTCCCTACTATCTAACAGAACCGCCGTCCTGACTGACCTCGGTAGTTGCGAATATGCAGTGCAGTACAGCTCCGACCGCAATCCTGCCAGCTTATCTGCCGCCGAGTTAGCCTCTCGCACCACGTGTGAAAGGGAGGCCGATAGTGTATCCAACAGGCTTCTTATTCTCCTTAATGTATTGCAGAGTGGCCACTTGGCTACCCCATTCGAATGCAACATGCGAACCAGGCTCTCCGAATCAACCTCCACCAATAAAGGGTCTGACACCACCCCCTCGCAGTAACGAAGTCCATGCAGCAATGCCAAGCCTTCCGCCTCTAACACATCCAGCTTTCCAAGCTCCTTATGAAACGCGAAAATTACACACCCGTCAGAATCCCATAGTAAGCCTCCTCCGTACGCCTGGTCAAGGACGACGCTGGCATCCGTGTTCAACTTGACGCTGAACCTTGGAGGCCGTTTCCAGGAGACCACAACTACCTCGCTCCTCCGGGTCTCTAGGGTTCCCAACCGAGCCCATTTGTCCTCGTAGTCCCCACGAAAGTGACACCTCGAAAGCATTTTCGCCACCCCTAGCTGTTCAACAAAATCTTCAATCATTGCGACCACCCCGCCAGCTTCAAAACAAGCTCTGTTCCTAGTTTTCCATAAAAACCAAAGTATTAATACTGGGACTATCGTCCTAATATGCCCCCTTGATGATGGGGAAGCCGAGCTGAACCACAACAACACCCTTGCCGCGAGCGAGGAGGGCTGGGCCTCCAATATGCCGAACCTCCGTTGGAAGAACTCCCAGACCGCCGCTGCTACCGGCCCCGTTGCAAAAAGATGGCCCAAGGTTTCCTCATGTGATAGACAACATGAGCACCGTGATGCTAGCAGTATCCCCCTATGCTTCAAATTGATGTCCACTGGCACCAGACTACGTAGTACCTTCCACGCAAAGAAGGACATCTTAAGCGGCACAACCTTACTCCAATGGAGGTCGTCCACCAGCGACGGGCCCCGTCTCTGGCGGATAAGGTCCCAAGCCGATGCAGTCGCAAATTCGCCCGAGGGTGAACACGCCCAGATCATGCAATCCCTCTGCTCAGGATGTAGAGTAACTTCCTGTACTTGCTGAACCAAGTGGTCAGGTAACCATGTTCTCAAATGATTGACCCTCCAGCCCTCGCTACCATAGAATTCAGCTAGAAGCATATGGGGCGGGTCTCTAAGGGAGAGCAGCTCTGCTAGTGTAGAGTCCCCGAGCCACCGATCATGCCAAAAATCCACAAAGCCTTTGCCGATGCACCACCTAATGTTGCATTCGGCAACGCCTCTGACTCTCTCCAGCCGTCTCCATAAAGGGGAAGTCTTAGCAGGCCAGGCGTAGAGAGGATGACAGCCCTTGAAACCATAGGGGGTAAAGTATAGCTTTTGAAACCATAGGGGAATTATGTGAAAAAATGCTAAACCACAAGGGGGTAAAGTGAAATTTCCCCTAAATAATATCCCTTTGCATCCAACTCCTCTTAATCTTCCAAATTTGTCGCATACACCTCACTAGTGGTTCCACTTTCATAAATGCACTAACTTATAGAAGACAAATAATAAAATCTTGACTCACATATAAAGTATCCAAGAAATTAAGGCAAATAAAGTAAAGTAAAAGAAAATGCATCCAAGAAACTAAGATACAATATAAAATAATCCTCACAGTAATGCGAGTCATCTGAGGTTGAAGTTAACCAACAGCTATCAGCTGTCCGTGTATGATTTGCATAGGAAAACAGATTAGATTCTTGCTCAATGCAACTAGGACTTAGGAAATTTACCTAAATAGTTGAATCCACTTTTGAAATTAAGTCGAGTTTTTGACCAAACTCAGCATGTTACGTTACCGACTAAGCTCGAGTTCGGCTCATTTATTTAAAAGTGTTTGAACTCAGCTCGTAAAGAAAAATTTGGAGTTTGAACTTGATCTCGAACTCGACTTGAATGACACAAGTGAATCAAGCTCGAGTTTGAAAATGCTCAAATATGCTTGAATATCTTTTGCAATATTTCACTCAAAAAATCAACCAATTACTTAGCCTATTTAATGAGAAATTTTTTACCAAATATAATAAGGCCCCTAATTTTTTTGGAAAAACAAATCCTAGACAATCAAGACATGCTAAATCTACATAGTTGTTAATAAATATTAAACATACTAGCTTGAATAAATGTATAAATGTGGCTGAATGAACTTAAACAAATTGTTTGAGAGTAAAGTAGAACTCATAGTAAAAAGGAGCCGAATTTAATGTTCGAACTCGATTCATTTATTTAAACTAACAAGGTTATACGAGTTGAATAGAGACGAGCTGAGTTCACGAATAGTTTAGTTTGTTCAAAGGCTCTAATTGATCCCAATTTTAGACGTTCAAGAATGAAAACGTGGAAGAAGGTCTAGCGGGTAATTTTATTTGACAAGGTCAAATTTCCTAAAACACTTAAATTGATTGAAGTAGATATATTTTGAGTGCGAAATTACTTCCTACTTACCTCTGGTATTTTTCCACTAATTGTAGGAATATTCAAAGTCAAGTCAGCGATTTCGTTTGACAATATGTAATTAAAATACTCGTTGTTGAGATATAGAATCTCAAAGTTGGAAAATAATTTTTGCTTAAAGAAAATTTGTGGAATTGTTGCAAGAAAAGTCGTGCATACTTCCCTAGGCACCATCAAAGTGCTGACGTGCAAGTGAACACCAAGGATACTCTATCCATGCAAGTACAATATGTACCAGCATAGTTTCAGATAATATCACGAATCAAAAATTGTACTCTCTCCGTCCCACTTTGATAGTCCTATTTTCCTTTTTCATCTGTCCCAAATTATAATCCACTTTTCAATTGAAAAATGTAGTTATATTTTAATTTTCTAAAATACCCTTATTCAATGTAAGTTGTTGCTACCATATTTAATGAGAGTTGACTCTTTTTTTACCATCAATTCAAGTTCCCATAAAATTATACTCTATTTAATATGAGAATATTTTAGGAAAATAACAATCTAAATTTACTTTTCAAACAAAGTTAACTACTTTTTCTTAAACTGTGTGGAAAAAAAAAAAACAGAACTATCAAAGTAGGACGGAGGGAGTACATCTTTGTTCCTAGAATTCAGTATGAGGCTATAAAGATAATTTTGCCTCAAATGACACGTGTCCAGCTTGACTGCAATTTGATTTGTTTGATATTTATAGCCTTTTTATTTGTGTAACTTATGCTCATTCTATTTGGAAAATTTTCTGTTTGATATCGATTGCATAATCACACTCTTTCTTGTTTTATTCGTTGATATTGAAATGCTGCAAAAAATCTATCTTCCAAATGTTATATTTTGTTGGTCCCGTCTAAAAATTGAATTACGAACCGTTCTCAAAAATTGATGGCCTTGATTAGCTTAAAAAAAAAAAAAAGTTAGGCGTAGATTACGTGATGTTTATTATTTTTAATGTCATGTGTAGTTTTTACCAAAAGCATTGTAAATTTATCTTGTGTTCAAAGTGGTTTACATTGCCAAACAAACAGACTTGCATTCCGTTCAAAAGGACAAAACTGTTTGCAAAACTGTTCTATTGGCTCGGTCCCTGCCTTGACACCAACTATAATTTTGCATCAATTCATAAATGCACATGCAAAACTTTTCAGTTTGGATGGCTACCAAGCCCAATATTGGACCATTCGTGGATAAGAATTATGACTTCAGTTGATGTAACATGGCAGCTAATCCGCGTGGAAATGTCTATGAGTCCGTTCGATGGTGAGGGCCGTTTCACAACTGAATTTTTTGGGTATTTGTCTAAAACTTTACTGTAACTTTATTATAAAACTTACTGTAACTTATTGTAGAAGTTGTAGAAAATTTTTTTGAAGTATGTACATTTTTGGATATTTTGAAATATATAGTTTAAAAACTTTGAGAAGTTTTTTGAGATTACTGTGGTTAAAATTGTTAAAAAACTTGTAACAGATAAACTTAACCAAAAGCTTGCTTGCCAAATAAGGCCGAGTTTTTTGGATGTTTATAATAAACTTGACCATAGAATATTGTAGAAGTTGTAGAAAAATATTTTGTATATTTCAGAATTGGAGAAAAGACTAATTTTTTTTCCTTTTTCTTTTGGGCAAATTACACTTTACCCCTATGTGGTTTGGTATTTTTGTACATAACCCCTCCTATAGTTTTAAAAACTATATATAACCTCCTCATAATTTGGATTAAAGTATCAAATTGACGAAAATGATTATCTGTAATGGTACTTATGAAAATATCGAAATTACCCTTGTTTAAAAACTCAAATGGTTGAAATAAACCAAAATATATAAACATAATATGCATGACACTCTATCCCCGTATAATTTTATATTTTACCATATAACCCCCTTATAGTTTGATATTTTATTATATAATCCCCTTATGATTTTCACTATATAGACATAACCCCCTGTGATTAATAAATAATTTTTAACTTTATATAAGGATATTTTTAATATTTTATTTAACTCCATTATGGATTGCAAATTTCGTCACTCTTTAATTCAAATCATGAGGGGGTTATGTATAACTTTTGAAACCATAGGAGTTGGGGGTTATGTATAAAAGCACTAAATCATAGGGGATAAAGTGTAATTTGTCATTTTCTTTTCCTTTTCTTTTTCTTTTTCTTTCTTCTCTTTCATTCCCATATCTCCCCACACCACCGCTGCTCTTCCTCCTCTCTCCCTTACCAAGAAGGGGAAAGAGGAAGGAGAAGAAGGGAGGGAGGGAGGGAGAAGGAGAAAGAAAAAAAATGAGAGGATGCTGGCCAGGGGTTGAGGTGGGGAAGAAGGAAGAAGGAGAGGGAAGAATGAAACAAAAAATTTGTGTTTTTGGATATGTTTGGGTGTGTATATTAAAAACTTTGGAGTGTTTTTAGAGAGTAACCATAAATAAAAAGTCATAAAAAAAATTTGTCTATTAAAAATACAACAAAAAACTTCATATCCAAACAGGCCCTATGTTCTGTTAGTTAGAGATGTCTATCTTCAACTGGGAAACAATACCGTGCATTGACTTGCCACTGCATGCCACTGGTAGTTGGCATCGCGTTCTATGCAGTAGTAACAAGAATATCGAGGAAACTCCCTTTCCCCTGCATCTATGACTATAAGTCACTCTTCCATTCATCTCTAACCATCTAATTCTAACTTATGCTTTCAAGAATGAGTCCCATGTCCCTGTCATTCCTCCTATTTTTGTTAGCATGGATCATCACCTTTCCAGTATCCCCAGCAGTTGGATCATTAGCCAAGCCAGGATGCAGCGATACATGTGGGAATGTTCGCATTCCCTATCCATTTGGAATAGGTCCTGGTTGCTCTCTGAACGAATCATACACCATAATCTGCACTTCTTCCAAGCCATATCTAAGCAATCTCAACCTGGAGGTGCTGAACGTGTCGTTGCGAAACCGAACAGTAACCGTAAGCACGGCAGTAACTCCAATTTGCAGCTCTGGAAACCAAACAAGTGCCATCAGCAGCTGGAGATCGAACAGTTCGGATCTCGGGGGCACCCCTTTCTTCTACTCGAAAACATACAACAACTTGGTGATTTTTGGCTGCGGAAATGCTGTCCTGATTAACCAAAACGACAACAAGATTCTATCAGGTTGTACTTCAACCTGTGAATTCAACAGCCCTGCACAAGCAATTGACACCAGTTCTTGCTATGGTGTCAATTGTTGTGAAACAACCATTCCCTTCTATCTTTCCAAATACCATCTGAACTTTACAGCTTCAAGATTCAATCATGGGGGAACTGGAAACTGCTCTTCGGTGTTCTTGGCAGACCAAAACTGGTCACCGGAGAAATTTTCGGAATCCACGCAATCAGTTCCGGTTGTTTTGGCTTGGACTCTAGGAAGAAATGATGTCCAGGCCATTTATCGCTGCCCGTATGAGATGACCTATCTAGAGCTGGAGTCTGGTGGAAATCTTGCAACTTTTATGTGTCCAACCTGCGAATTTGGCGGAACTGACCCTCAAGAGATCAACCCCTATCTACAAGAACAATGTGGCCCAAGTACGGTTTAAGCAAACAAATTTTGATAGTAGTTGTCATTATTGTACAAATTTGCAATTGCGTGAGATTAAATCGGACTTGGCAAATGTGTTTAACACTTT